GCAACCATCTTTTTCTGCATTGTGTTTTTTACCAAAAAGAAAAAAAATTATATTGGACAACATATATGCAGATGCTGATAGTTCTGTGACAGGCCAGTACCGGCCCAACTGATAGATAGCGGTCAGACTCTACTTCATACGGTGCAATTGACGTGCATATACACAAACGAGCTGCATATATATATGAATGTTGCATAAACGGAAATGTGCTGCAAAAAGAAAACGCTGCATATACAGATGCCCTGCTTACATGAAAACATAAGTAAAAAGAAACCGCTGGCCTCTAGGGGCAGTAGTGAGCTTTTCACCTGAGAGGCAGACAACAGTGAGCGAGACAAGTAACGTTAGTTGAGGGAAAAGCTGTATGAAAAGGTTTCTATTCTCTCGTCTCCATGGATAAACATAAATAACAGAAAAGAGAAGGTAGTAAAACACCCCTTCAGCATCCTTATAATCACAGTGACTGGAAAGTTAAAGACGTAAAACTGCCCCTAGAGGCCTGTGGCACTTCCATTGTGTGACTGGATATGCATTGTTTTCCTTTTGCAGTGTGTTTCTGTTTTTGCAACGTATTCATGTACAGTCGTGGCTCGATAATCCGACCCTTAACAGTCCAAAAGCCTTGCTATCTGACAGGTTTTTAGGAAAAACAAACGGAACCCGTTGAAAACAGCCTTAACATACCGACAGCCTTGGATTCCAACATGACATTTTATGTCACAAATGAGGATAACGGCGTATTATCTGATTTAACAATCCGACAGATGGGCTACGTTCAGAGTGCAGGACTTTATGCTCAATTCAGATTTTTTTGTGAAATCTGATTCTTTTTCGATTAAATGCGACTTGTATGTGATCTGCTGTGCGAACTTCATACGACCCGAAAGTGTCCCGCATGCGCAGAAGAGGACACAACGATGTCACACGCCGCGAACATTGCTCAGTGTTTATGGACGTAAACACAGATGGTGGCAGGGGTGGTGGCATCAGTGGAAACAGAAGTGTGACCGCTATCCTAAACTAGCATCAGCAGCCAGGTACTGCCTGTGTGTTCCGGCCACTTCCACCTCGTTGGAGCCATAGACTGTATAAAAGATTGACGTAGCAACCGGCCCTGAAAAATGAAGCCAACCCAGAAGTGTCAAAAACCTGCAGTATCACTACGTCCGCTAGCTGCTGGCTCCAAAAAGCCCTGGCT